TTCCCCTCCTGAGACCCTCCGCACCCCTCCCGGGACCTTCCGCACCCTTCATGACACCCTCTGTACCCCTCCTGAGACCCTCCCGGGGCATTCCGCACCCCTCCCGGGACCTTCTGCACCCCTCCTGGGACATTCTGCACCCCTCCTGACAACCTCCACACCCCTCCTGTGCCCTTCCGCACCCCTCCTGACACCATTCGCATCCCTCCTAAAACCCTCCGCACCCCTCCTGGGACATTCCGCAACCCTCCTGACAACCTCTGTACCCCTCCTGAGACCCTCCGCTCCCCCCAGGGACCTTCCGCTCCCCTCGTGAGACCTTCCACACCCCTCCTGAAACCCTCTGCACCCAGGACCGGATTTGCTCTCCCTGCTGCCCCAAGGCCACCTTCTTCAATGCGCCCCCCTCCCCTCCATCCAGCCCCCCATGGAGAATGCCAACTGGATAGCGGCGGTGACAGGGTTAGTTTGAATTTATTTTATTGTTTATTTTTTTTTACTTTTTTATCACTTTTTTTTTTACTTTTTCCATTTTATTTACTTTTGTCATCTTTTACTTTTTTATTTTTTATCATTGTTATCTTATTATATTACCGCCTGGCGCCCGGAACTCCATGTTCCGGGCGTTGGGAGACTACAAACCGCTGCCGCCCCTCTGCTCCCTGCCGCCCCGAGTCCAGGCCTTGGTGGACTTGTGGGGAATCCGCCCTTGCCTGCACCCCTCCTGAAACCCTCTGCAAACCCTCCTGGGACCTTTGGCACCCATCCTGAGACCGTCTGCACCCATCCTTAGGCCTTCCACACCCCTTATGAGACTTTCTGCACCCCTCCTGAGACCTTCTCCCCAAGACATCAGACCGGCACCCCGGGAACAGAACGACAGCACAAAATTCATATACTATTATTCTGCATTGCTGTGATTTGTAGTTCTCAATAGCTGATGGTATTGTTCTGCACTACTTATTGTCCTCTATAGCTGGTGGTATCCTGCATTGCTGTATATGTTTTGTGTTTTAATGTTCAGTTTATTCTACCAATCTCTCGTTAAAAATCAAACGTGCCAATCTTTATGTTTTTATCTTGGGGGGGCACAAGTATCTGGTCTTGCCAAGGGTGCAAAATAGGTTAGCCGGGCAGCACATTCTGCTGTGTGAGGACCCTCTCCTCTTAGCCCCACCCCCTGACTGGGGAGATGAGGAAGAGGGCCCTGCTGGAGAAGGAAGGTAAGTCTGGAGTGGGGGGAGGGAGGGGTCTGGTGCGAGGAAGTGTGTGCGTGTGTGTGTGTGTGGGTGGGATGCTTGTGGCATTCTGCATAGCTGACTTATTATAATGTATTGCTGGTGGGGCTTGTAGTCCCGCATAGCTGGTGGCATTCTGCATTGCTGTATGATGATTATACAGTAATGCAGAATAGCTCCAACTATGTAGGACTACAAGTCTTAGCAATGCATTATATTTTTAAGTAGTGATACACCACTGCCAATACTGGGCATTTTCCCAAGTACTCATACTCGTGAAAATGCCCAGATACTAAACACAGATACCGGTGTTCTATCGAGAACGTCGACGTAGTCGAATTTATCGACCTCAGCATTTGCGCTTGTGCACAGACCAATATTATCTAGGTAACCGGGATTTATTCACAAAGTATTTCGTTTAAATCGTTAATTGTGACTGTTAATAATATTCCATCCATCATTCATGGACGGCATATTATTAACAGTCAGAATTAACCATCACAAATGAATACTTTGTAAATAAATGCCGGTTTCCTCTGTAATCCCGTCTGTACATAAACACAGATACTTGGTCAGCGTTCTCGACAGAACAACGGCACTAAAAATGTAAACAAGCGGCTGCCTGAGGTCCCGCACTTGCTGGGGACCTCGGCAGTCTTCCTGGTAACCATGCGGTGCCATGGCGGTTGGGGCGGCCCCTTCATTGTTTCTTGCACCAGGGCCCTGAAGGTTCTAGTTACGCCACTGACCGTGACACTCTGTGCTTACAGAAAAATAACAGACAAGCTAAGTTGACTAAGTTCGCAATCACACCAGATGTGTTGTGCTGTGCTGGGCAAGTCAGCAACACACAGAATGCAAAGTCCCAACACACAGAAAGGGCAATTTGCCTTCTTCCCTATTAAGTAAGTTCACAACACTGCATTGCTGTGGTGCACTGAATAAAAGCACTACATACAGTACTGTATCACACTGTGATGCACTCCACTACTGTTCTCTGCACCATTTAGAATCTACCTATCACCAAAGGAAGAAGAGAAGAAAGAGGACCCAAACCTAATACAGTAACAGGGGTGGAAATGGTAGAAAGCAACCTGGAGTTGGGCTTTAAAGCAAATTTGTAGCCTGACTCAAGCTGGTAATCTAGGCTACCATGAAGTATTAGTTATTAAGGATGGTACATTCATTTAAACTGATCCTTCTTTGGACCATGTTGGGGAGATTTTCCATAACTTTCTGTTAGAATAGGAAAGGATAGCAATTCCCTCTAATTATTGAACAGACAAAAAAGGTACAATTTTTAATAGAAAAGGGAACAGCTAGAATGTCTGTCAATGTTTTTTATTGCTGCATGTAACCCTCCCCCTTAATGTATTGTATGGTGTCATAGGACTAGGAAGGGAGGAAAAATGCTGCCCAGTAGAGTCACAGACAGAAATATACACTTGAAAGCAATTTTAACTTTTCTCTACTTTATAAAAAAAATAAAAATATATATTTATACCATACCGCCATAAGACCTAGACTTTCTAATTATCATGACTTTAAATTATGTATTTATATTTAGACTTTGCATGAAGTGGGATAATGTTAATTACACACAGCATATACTAAAGTACCCACAGATATGCACAAAAATAAAAAATGCCTGACATGGTTTTTTAAGAATCAAATGCATCAACAAACCATACAATGTAAAGAAATCTGATCTGACGACTGGAGCTGTGTAACATTTTTTATTTTAGGTACAAACAGGGTATAGCAAAGTCCTTGAGTTCAATCTTGTGTGCCTTCATTTATGCCCTCTATAATACACAATCTGTCACCCTTGCTACCTTCCATGTCAATGTTGGAGCTAAAGTCCACTCTGTTCTAATTGAAACAGTTTACACACGTTCTCCAGTTTTACCCATTCCGTAGCCCTTGATATTCCATATTGTTTACTTTCTACACTCAAGGACATTATGCTTTACATACAAGACTATATAGTGGAACCCGCTTTTGCTCTAATATAGGATCGATAATAACCTTTTACCTTTAGCTTGTAAGCTCTCACGGGCAGGGCCCTCCTGTCTTGAATAATATTGAAATGTCTTCCCTATATTGTAAAGCGCTCCACAAACTGTTGGCACTATATAAATAATAATAATCTCAGATTATATTTAATATTTAGTGCCATCATTTTCCAGATCTTACTACTCTTTTACTGTGGATGCCTAAATACTTCATTGTATTACATATCCTATGTGTTCTGAGCTATTATACTATGATGCTTAATGTTTTCCACATTCTTCTATATGCAGGTTTATGCTTTTTCTTATTTGTTGAATTATTATTTGTAAAACTTGAATAAACATTTATTATACTAAACAGTTTATGCATGAAACAATACCAAAAAGGGAGGAGTCTAATCTACAAGGAGATTTCACTGCTTGCCAAACTACTATTTTTCATTATCTCTGGGGTAAGGTGAGTCTGTATTCACTTTATTCCCTTTCAATGTATGGTGCATTTAACTTAAATTTCTCATGGAACTGCAAGAGACATTCATGATAAACAATAAACATAACCAAACCCACACATAATAAATACAAATACCAACACACTCTTTTTGTCAAAGAAATGGATGTGGCATTTTTTATTGGGTAACTCAAAAACATTAAATAAGATAGGAAATAAATAAATATATAAATAAAATCATTAACCATAATAACTCACTAGTGCTTGGCTAGAAAGAAACCCAAGCACACCAAAAAGACTAAAGCTGTATTTCCTTCTAAAATATCCCTCTCCAGAGATGTGACAAACCACATAAAACAATGCCGCAAAAAATTAAGTGGTGGGAGGGCAGGAAGCTCATCCGAGTGACAGATGACAAGGTGAAGAAGAGATGCTCTTCCCGCCGCAAAAGGTACATCTGCCTGGATACAGACCCTGTCCAATCACCTGCCAAAAGAGAGCAGAAAAAGAGTGGGAAAAACCCAAAAGAGGGGGAAGGGAACTTTTTTTTGTCGCTGTACAGTTCCATGAGGGGGGCTCACTTAGTGCTCATTCACCCCCGCATAAAAATCCACCTACAAATGGCATACATTTTTGCATGAACCTGTTATTGTGTTTTTGTATTTTTTCTAAATGATGCAATGCATGAGAAATCAATCAAAATGGTCTTGGAACTATTTCAGAAAAAAATAATGAAAGCGCAAGAATAATATGATGTAAAATAAGAGAAATCCCTCTTCATTCTAAAAAGCAAATCCACCGTATTTTTTTTCAACATAATTTTGTACATTTTCCAACATAATTTCCTCCTAAATGAATAATTAGAACATCAGGAGCGGGCCACTTATTATACATCCTAACACGACAGGAGATTAAATCACACCACCTCATTCCCCTTTGTCTTGACCAGGAAACAAGAATATCTTTCAGATTCATAGAAAGATTTTTAGAGTACACTCTCCTCGAAGCCCACTTCTTTGCCCAGAAGATAAAACTATGTCCCACCATCCAGATGGAAAGTATCTTACCTAAAATATCAAACAGATAAATTAGGCCTAATGTACTTTTTAAATCTGTTGGACTCCCATCTACCTAACTTCTTAATGACACTTTGATCAAGATCCAATTTAGCAGCCTCTGTAGCAGCGCCAATTCAAAAAGAGTGTGAGGAGAATTCCAAATCGCCCAGGCCAGCAACTGATAAACATTTAAAGACAACTCTATTAAACTGAAATTTGGATAGAGCTGATCCATCTAAATGAAGTAAAAAATTACCTTAAAAAGATGGCCTAACAGACAAAAAGGGCAAAGAGAAAAACATGGAAAGGCATGCACAGTAATCCAGCTGATCAGCTTTTGCTTTTCTAATCAAAATATGTAAAGAGTTCTCAAAAAAATCTATTATCAGAAAAATGTAAACCGGACAGGTGACTTTTACTGTATACTGTAAGTTCATAAATTCTTAGGGCTGCAAAAAAGGCTAGAACAAAAGCTGGGCAAAAAATAATTGTTTCATAATTGGAAACACATAACCTGCAGCCACATTCACGAAGCTGCCGAAGGATCTAGCCGTAGCTTCGGCCGATCCTTTAGCCAATAGTAATGTAGCAATGCATTCCAATGGGAACATTTTTTATTTATTTTTTCTATTCTGACATCGCTCTCTGTCAGAATAAAGAAAAAAAAGACACATCAGTGTTTCTCTCCTGGGCGGCCGGGAGCGGGTTTCTTCACTCGGCTGCCCTCAGCAGCTTAGTGAATAGACCCGATAGTTTAGACAACACATCCAGAGTAATTGGCCTCCAGAGTAACTTTCTGTAACCTTTCAGCACCTGCTTAACAGAAAAGTAACTGTTACAAGCAGGGAAGTTAAAAAGATTCAGAAAGAAAGAAACATCAGCCAATGACTTAACTATATGTGAGTAAGAATACCTTGATCAATCATAAGGCAAATAAAAGAAAGAACTAAAGCTTCAGAAGAATGCATACTGGTAAAACCAGAACACAGAACTGTACACCAATTCTGCCACACAAAAGAGTATTGCTTTCAGGTTGAACAAGCTACAGAGTTCCTTATATTAAGGGCAATTATTATTATTATTATACAGTATAGTGGATACATTTTTGGGGTTTTGTTTTTTTTTAAATAAAGGGTTTTTTCAAAAGTCTGGCCTCTTTTTTTTAACAATTTTATTTAACCCTTCAGTGAATGAGTACCCCTTACTCATTCACAAGGGGGAGGGCCGCATCTGGGTGCCCCTTTATTAAAGGGGTACCACAATGTGAATAAGCCCCCTTCCCGCACCCCCATGACCAATGCCCCAGGGCTTGCGGGGAAGAGACACCGCCCCAGGCTTGCTCGTTCTCCCGCCCCTTTTCCTGCCCTGCCAGGCCTGTGCTCGGATCAAGAGTCTGGTCTGGAATTTTAGGGGTACCCCACGTCTTTTTTTCCCCATTTTTGGGGGTTGGGTTCTGCCTTAAAATTCCTACCAGACCTTAAGGGCATTGTATGACTTTAAGGGGAACCCTACACACTTTTTTTTTACATGTGGTCCCTCCTAAAATTCCTACCAGACCTTAAGGGTCTGGTATGACTATTGGGGGAACTCCATGCTTTTAAAAAAAAAAAAAATTGGTCCCTCCTAACATTCCTACCAGACCTAAAGGGTCTAGTATTGTTTGGGAGGGGGAACCACATTCTTTTTTTTTTAATGTCTTTTTTTTCTACTTTTTTTAAAGTAAAAAAAAAATGAAAGTCTCATATAAAAAAAAAAAAAAAAATAACACCAAAAAAAGTTTCAAGTCCCCTGCCCCCAGGCGCATGCACTTATACACTTAAATACGATTCAGGCGCGGCTACGTGCAAAAACAACGATTACGCCGCACATGTTAAATATCGCTGCAAACGTCGCAGTGAGAGCAATAATTCTAGGCCCATCAATTGCTGATAACACTAAACTGATGAGTGTTAAAGCGTTTAAAGCGTCACCTATGGCCAATTTTAGGCATGGTAGTTTTTTTGCGATTTTGTGGAGGTGCATGCAGTTTTAAAGCTTGACATGTTTGGTGTCTATTTACCGAACGTGACCCCCGTCTTTTATATTTTACCAAAAAATAGGGTAATAATAAATGTTTTATAACATAACATAGGGGAAACTTTTTTCAAATTGTACGGTCCTTTTTTCGTTATATAGTAAAAAATATAACCCCAGTGGTGATTAAATACCACCAAAAGAAAGCTCTATGTGTCCCTAAAAAATGGTATCAAATTTATTTCAGTACAGCGTTGCATGACGGAATAAATGTCAAAGTACCACAGCGCTGAATACTGAAAAATGGCCTGGACATGAAGGGAGTTTAACACCCCGGTCATTAAGTGGTTAAATGTCATTTTTTTCTTTACAAATGTCAGTTTTGCAGCAGCAGGTTATACACATCTTACAGATGCACCACTTTACAGGCAGTTTAAGGGGACCCCCCAGGCACGATAGTTAAAGGAATTTTTCATCTTTATTGTTTCACTTTAAGTTAAATTAAAATCACTGCTCCTTTAAAAAAATTATATTTTAAAAGTAATTTTTGTCATTGATTCCTGTCCCCCAGGGCAGTACCCGATTCCCCATACACTTTTTATGGCCAATAACTTGCAAATAAGCCTTCAAAAGAGGGGACATTTGATTTTCAAAGTTCTATCCCCATAGACTTGAGTTCCCCATTGAGTTCTAAGTTCGAATTCAAACTTTTCCCATGTTCGAAAGTTCGAATTCGAACAGAACACGGAATCACTAATCACTAATCAGCAGTGGAATTCAACCTACAGGGTACATATCTAGCTTTTAGCCAAACATTATATTTGAGACACTAGAAAACCAAATGTCTCAACAAAACAACCACAGGCAGAGATTTAGAGGACAAACAGTTAACAGAAAAAACTACTCCTCTATTATCAGATTGCAACAAAATCTTCTTATTGCGAAAACCGTCACCCCACAAAGCCACTGCCGCCACAACAGGATATAATTCCAGCAAAACTATGGGGGTTATTCACTATAGCCTGTACAGCAGCCAAAGGCGGGCACGCGGCTCAGCAGAGCCGAAGGCATATGCTTTGGTTTGACTGAGCCGAAGTGACAGCTGAAGCGGTGTGAACGGCCTGCGGAAGGCCATCCGTTTGCCTAGGGTTGCCACCTTTTCTTCAAGCGAAACCCGAACACTCTAGTGAGGCGCTGACATTTTTTGGGAGAATGAGTCGCGGTTGAGACTATTTTCAGTGGGGGGCCAGTAGCTCCTATATTAATTTTGGTTGCCCCTGTCTGCCTGATATCTTATCTTCGGGTTTCTGCTGCCATTAAACCCGGACACAGCATTCAAAACCCAAACTGTCCGGGTGAATCCTGTACAGGTGGCAACCCTACGTTTGCCCCGCAAATGACAGCTGGCTCCGCCTAGTTGTAATGACAGATCAGTGTCCCCAAATGACCTGGGGATGCTGATCTGTCATTAAACAACAACAACTGGGCGGAGCCGGGCGATCAGATGCCAGAGTAACGATATTGCTTAAAGTGACATTAAAGGATATCCCCCCATCAATGCTAGTGTAAGGACTTATCTTAAATGATGCCTATTGATCATCATCTTCTTTCCAGTAGGTTTCAAAAGTCCCTCCAGCGCTGACTGCTGTGTCTGTGTCCACAGAGTCTGTGCGGGTGCACACTGCTGGGCTGTGTGCACTGACTTATCCTGTGTCTCTCCTCGTCTCCCGACCAAAGATCTGTACTGCGCATGCACCCTTCCCATGATCCTTTTCGGCCGCCCAAGCTTTTTTAGATCTTCAGACTGGAGCGAGCAGCGGAGACACATGTAAGTTTAAACCTTTATTGTAACTTAAAAACATTTTTTTTGCATATATCTACTGCTTGCTAGTAGTAGATATATGCAAAAAACCCTGGGGGTTTAATTATCCTTTAAAGGAGAATTATGAGGTGAGTGCCTCAATGAAACTGTCACAGGTCGGCTCAGTAGATTTGGAAGTGAGCGAACACATACCGCCGTGACAGGGGAGTGACTGGATTCTCCCCTCCCCTGTCCGATCCTCCAGCGCTGACTGGCGGAACGGACGGGGAGGGGGCGGGTACAGCTGGCTCTGCCTCTAGATAGGCAGAGCCAGCTGTCACTCACGCAGCTGGGTGGATCCAGACATAATTGTCGGGATCCGTTTCAGCTGCGGCGTCTCATTATACCGCAAGCTGCAGCTCGCTGTATACTGAGCTTTGGGTAACGGGAGGACGCTAGTTTGTGTCCTCCCGTTACCCTTCGGAGAACTATAGGGAAAAGCCCTAACCCCATAGTTTTACTTTAAGTAATGATCTGCCGGTTCTCTTCAGCACCAAGTAGACCATTCATTCTGACCAAATCACTAAACCCATGTAAAGAAACTTAGCTCCAAACCTGCAAGGAACCGACATCATGCTTCACTGATACCCGCAGAAGCAAATTCTTGTACTGCTCTCCAGCTCTTTGGCGGACAAACTACCTCCTGGTACAGACCATTTTTAAAAATGTAGACTGCCATTGTTCAGAACACCAGTTCTTATGTTTTCATCCATAAGCGAGTCACTTGGCAATGTTTACAACTTTTGATGGGTGTATCAGTGTCCCACTGATTTCTGCTAGGTCAGAGCTGATAGTGCTAATGGACATCTTCTAAAAGGAACTTAGCATGATGTGTCTTTCATCTTCCATGGTAAGTTTCCTTGGCAGACCACTGGATGTCTGGTCCTCAGAGTTAGCTGTTTCATTGTGCTTTCTATGTAGAATATCACATCTAGAAACACCTATTTTCCTTGAAGCCCCTGCCTATGAGAGACTTTGTTGATGCAGTAAGGCCATCCTTTGTCTTGTTGCTGTGCACAGTCTTGCATTGCGTATGATATTTTACAATGAACTGTTTTAAATTACCTTAACATGTTAGTTTGGCTTTTCCTCACCATGTTTGATTTTTCCTTCACAACATATTCTGTTTGATTTAATGATTTAACCTACATATTATTATTTTTTTAAATACTAGCACCTGTCTGGAATAATTTTTTTAATGATGTACTGGACCATATGCTTGCAATATCCTTAATTGTATGTGCAAGCGTATCTGGGAGAATTGTTCCTGTTTTAAAGGCAAATGGTGAGAACATCAAATATTGATTTTTTTTCCCCCCAGTTTACACATTTTTTAGGTTGCTATTTGATAAATAAAAATGATAATTAAATTATTTTTGAAAGCATCTTCACTTTACAGCAGGGGTCTCAAACTCAATTCACTTGGGGACCACTGGACAATGTTTCTGCTCCCATGGGCGTCGCTTGAGAAATTGAATACATTTTCACACTTCAAAATAAAACTTAATTATATACGGTACCATTGTTAATGTATCTGTGTGTTTATAATGTCAGTCTATGTGTTTGTGATGGGTTTTTTTTAATTCAATGTCAGTATATTTTTTGTGATGGTTTGTGTTGTGTGTATTGTCAGGATTTCTGTAAGTGATGTCGGTATGTGTGTTAATGTTTTTGTGTTTATCATATCAGTATGTATACATGGGTATACCGTATGTGTGCAGAGTCAGTATATGTGTGTGTGTTTTTTCCCGCAGGCTTTAATTTTAATTATAGAGGACCAGCAGATTTACACATTCACTCACACAGAAATTTGCACACACACAGAAATACACTCCCCAGCCGCACATACAGAAATACACACCCTAATACACAATATTGCACACACACACAGAAATACACACACACACAAATATAAAAAAGAGCCCCTCGCCTACTTACATTTTTTGCAGGAATGGGGCACATTTCCTGGTGATCCAGAGGTTGAATACTAATCCTTCCCGGCTCTTAGTGAAAGCTGACAGAGTCACAGTCACATGCTGTGCTCTGACTCACACTGAGTGCTGGCACCACCAGGAGCAACTATGCGGTCTGCATCTGACAGAGCTGCAGACCATGTAGCTGCTCCCCTATGTCAGATACACAGCCCATGACCATCAGCCGGTTGCGGGCCACATGGTACCAGTTTGCAATCCGCAGTTGCCCCTCCAGGCTGGTCCTTTGAGACCCCTAGTACCAGAAGGAGAATAAGGTGTGCATCATACTCACTAGTGATGAGCTGAACAGGTCCGAGTTCGATTCGAATTCGAACTTTAGAACATCCAAAAAGTTTGAATTTGAACTCGAACTCAATGCAAGTCTATGAGGGTAGAACTTTCAAAAACAATTGTCCCCTTTAACCTTCCTGGCGGTAATCCCGAGTGTGGCTTGGGGTTAATTTTCAGTACCAAAAGCGGTAACCCCGAGCCACACTCAGGATTACACTGTAGTGTCACTTACCTTGTCCCTCCGAGCCCCCGCTGTGTCCTCCGGGTTCCTTCCCTGCGAGCTCCGTCATCGCAGGGGGGCGGAACCGGCGGGAAATTCACAGGTAAAAAATAGAAAAGAAAAAATACTGATATAAATCAGACTGCCAGGGAGGTTAAGAGTGCTTATATGCAAGTTATTGCCCATAAACAGTGTATGGGGATCCGGGTACTGCCCTGGGGGACAGGAATCAATTAAAAAATTTTTTTTTAAGAATACCATTTTTAAAGTAGCAGTGATTTTAACATCACTTAAAGGGTAACAATAAAAATGAAAAATTCCTTTATTAATATCGTGGCTGGGGGTCCCATTAACCTGCCTGTAGAGTGGCAGATCTGTACGAAGTATAGAACCTGCTGCAGCAAAACTGACATTTCTAAAGAAACAACATTTTTTTTTTTTTTTGCAGTTTCCCTTTAGGTCTAGTAGGAATGTTAGGAGGGACCACATTTTGTAAAAAAAGAGCATGGGGTTCCCCCCAAAAGTCATACCAGAGCCTTAAGGTCTGGTAGGAATTTTAAGGAGGAACATCACCTCCGACAAGCAAGCACCCCTTCCCCCTTATACCAGGCCACATGACCTTGGCACTGGGAGGGTGCTTTTCCAGGGTCGCCCTGGAAAAAGCACCTTGTTACTGCGCCGATAGGGACAAGGGCCTCTTCCCCAAAAACCCTGAGGCCTTGGTTGTGGGGGTGCAGGCAGGGGGGCTTATTTTCATCAGGGTACCCCTATAATAAAGGGGCTCCCAGATGCCACCTCCCCCCTTGTGAATGAGTAAGGGGTACTTGTACCCCTACCCATTCACTAAAGGGTTACATACAATTGCAAATAAAAAGTCCAGACTTTTGAAAAAATCCTTTATTTGGGAAAAAATTTTTATATTAAAAAAAAAAATGGATCCACCGACGTAATCCAGGGTCAATCACAACATCCAGCCTTGTCCACAACTCAACGAAATGAAAAATAAAAGAACAAATAAATAGAAATAAACTTCCCGATCGATAGAGCTGACCTGTGACAGCTTCTTTGTCACAGGTAGACTCTAACTATGAGGATGGGGGGAAATCACTCACCTCACAGTTCTCCTTTAACCCCTTCGTGACGGGAGACGTACAGTGTACGTCTTGTCACTTTGTGCCTATATGACTGGCCACGTACACTGTACGTGACGAGTTATATCAGGCTTTGTAATGCCGGTATTTGCTGATTCTCAGCATTTAACAGTCATTCATTAATGTCTCAGTATTGAGGCATTAATTAATGAAATAATTAAGCTTTTTGTAAAAGCTTCTTCCTTTCATTAATGAAAGAATGAAGCCGTTACATGCAAATAGAGGACCGCAATTTGCGATCCCGTATTTGACAGCTCAAAATAGCAGAGAGGCAGCAGTGACTCACCTCACCTCTCTGCTATTTGTTTTGACAGCTCGAGAGCCCGATGTTTGGATACATTTCACTGAAAGGATACAATGTATCTTTTGAGTGAAATGTATCATTTCTGATCGTCTAGGCACGATCAAAGAGCTTTTAGTGAGATCTGAATCTGACTAAAGTCAGGATCAGTCTCTAAGGTTATTATTAGCTGTTCCTAAGTTTGGATCAGCCTAATAGCCAAAAATAAAATAAAAAAGTTAATTTATCAAGCTGTCATAGTGATTGCTTGATATAAACTGACAAGAAAAAAAAAAGTTTTTTTATTTTATTTTTATTTTTTTTACAAAGTGTAAAAAAATTAAAATAAAGTGTAAAACAAAATTAGGAAAATATAAATTATATATAAATATATTTTTTATACTATAATTAATATAAAAAAATTCTAAAAAAAAAAAATAATAATCAAAACTTGTGAAAAAAGTGTTTTCTTCTAGTTTTTTTCCTCATTTTTTTTATTTTATTCAAACTAAGTGAGGGGTTAGGTACACATATGTGATATAATTATATAGCCCTATCTGTCCTCTAAAAAACAATATATAATATGTGTGGGTACATTTAGTAAGAAAGTATATTACTGACGTGGAAAAACCACACAGCAAAAATGTAAAAAATGTGTCAGTCATTTATGAACCGAACCTGAAAACTAGCTCAGTCATGAAGGGGTTAAGTGAACTGGTAAGTAGTTCTGGGTCCTTTGGACTGCTTTACCAGTTGAGTGAGTACATTTTGGTTTTCTGGCAAAGTGAATCAGTGCTTACTAGCAAACCCCGGGTCAGAGTGATCCAGCAAGATGAATTAACTTCCATCTCCAAGAATCCTTCTCCATCCTGAATATACAATTGTATTTCCTATCTCACTATTTGAAGCAGACCTGCAGACACCTTCAAAATACTTGCTGGCTGAGTGCAGATCTCTGTCTCTAGCTTTGTCATTAACACTGGTACCGTATATAGTTAATTTTTATTTTGAAGCATGAAATTTGGCAAGCGCCCCCCACGGGACTAAAAACATTTGGCCAGTGGCCACTGAGTAAATTGAGTTTGAGACCCCTGCCGTAAAATATGGAGGCCATTAGGTCAATATAAAAGGAAGGGAGCTCTTGCCACACCCTCTGACTCTGCTGTACTAGGTGCTGGCCAATCAGTACGCTACAAATCCCTGTCATAAATCTTCCTTTTTTAAAAATGTCATCTCTGTTTGTTCCATTTTCAGATAAGTCATTGGGCTCTATAACCATGCTGAAACAGATCAAAATACTCACCTTTGTGATGGCAATAGCAGCTATTACTTTCCTGAGCAGAATTGCCCTTAACCAGAAAAGTAATTTCATCATGAATATTTTAACGTCCAATGGCTTATTATCGGATCCAAAAACCACAGAGAAAGCTGGTGGAATGTCCAATATGATCGAAAAGGTATCCTCTGCTGCGTTCACAAACACCATTCTAAGACAAGGAAATGGAATCTTTTTTGTCGAGACCACAGGCAGAATGGAACCACCTTCCCTGGTCTTGTGTGCTATTGAGTCAGCGGCCCGAGTCTACCCTGACAGACCAGTGGTCTTCTTCATGAAAGGATTGGGGGATATCATGACAGCTGAAGAAGACAGCAGAACAAGGGAACATTTTCCAACTCTCTATTCTTTTCATAATATCTACATCTTCCCTCTCAGAATGAATGAGTTATTTAATCAAACACCTCTCATGACTTGGTTTAAAAAGGTACAGTATGTTACAGACAAAATAGCATATCTTTGAGAATAGCTGAGAATGAAAAATGTGAGTATATTTGTAGACAGGTAGCTAGATAGCATTACTCACTGCAAAGGTTGTGGAAACTGTAACTGTATTAAAAAAAGAAAACAAAAGAAATAATTTTTTGAAATGTATAATCCCACTGTTAGTTATTAACTAACCCTCTGCACATCTACACAATCAAACATGCAACTAATTCTGCACGAACAATAGAAATCATTGAACGAACGTGCACAGCATAAAAATTAATTTTGGACGAAACTAATGAAAAATAAAGAAATTTTAATTTTTTGTTTTTCAAAATTAATAATTATGCTCTTTCGGATTTGGAGGCAACGAACATCCGAATCCGAAACCGCACACATGAACAGCAGAATGTAAGGCGGCCATATTGGCCACCGGAGCATTCTGCGCATTCAAATTTTTCGTATATTGGGGAATATAATAATTAGTTCATTTAGCTTCGGACGAACTGACGATTCAATGGAATTTCTTTGATTTGCAAGTTTGTCCGAATGCACATGTCTAGATATTATGTTTGCTGAACAACTTTGCCAGTTGACCACCTTTTTTTGGGTCGGTCCTATGCCATTTATAAGATATAAAATGTTTAAAGCCCAACTGAAGTTTTAGCCCAAATGCTGAAAGTAAAATCTAAAGAACCCAACTCCCTGATCATAAAAGTCCTTTTCTGGCAGTATGCTGTGAAGAAGGACATATGCAGCAGTCTGACACACTTCCAGCATGGTCATTATTACAGCGCTGCAATTAGCAATGCTTGCTGACAAGAGCTAATGACTGCCCAAGGCCAAGAACTCCATAGGGCGGAAGTTCTACAGCCGAATAACAATAACATTGCACCCAGCTGGTATAATTGACTGGCTTGATGTTGATGTCTTTCAATGTGATTTCCAACACACCTTTCAGGCTATATCCTCCAATTATATGTACAACAGGTTAAATCGACAAGCTTACCTTGCTGTCAGTCACAAGAAACCCCCAATTAAATATTAATGAGCAATCTTGCTTATGGTATTTAGGATGTGAAGTAGCAGGAGAGCACAATGCTGGCATAACATAGACCCTAACATTACAATGAGATGTAAAACGCTTTAATAACTAGGTCATTGGGCTGAAACAGTATATAGTCCATACGTTGTAACTTCAGCATATTAATGTAGTCACAAGCAAATACTTTACAAGCAGTGAATCCACTAGTATGACCATATTCTGTAGACTAACAGAAAATGTAACATATGCTTCAGTGGCGGACCTAAGGAACAAAGGGCCCTGGTGCAAGATTTTTTTTGCCCCCCCAAAAAAAAAAAACCCCACAAACACAGCGCTTTCCTCCCACAGTGCTCGGCCGGCTGTCACTTTCTCTCCTCCCCGCTGGGACACAGAGCAGCGCCCAGCGGGGAGGAAAGAAAGCACGGATGTAAAAATGGCACTTTTGGCATTTTTCCAAAAGTGCCATTTCAGGCTGATATCTTTTGGCTGCCTGCAGGGCTGTCTTCAGTGCCTCCTTGTTCCGCGGCTCCCTCTTCACAGCGGCCGGCAGGTCCCATATTATTTCAGCCGGCGGACAGGCCCCCCGATTTCAGTGCGTCGCGGGGCGCCCCACCCCATTTTGGATTGTCAGATGTTAAGATCAGTATCCGGTGGCTGGTGGGCCCCCCATCTCTGTGCCGGCGCAGAGACTGGGGGCCCACTGGCTGCTGGATACCGATCCGGTGCTATCCGGCGGCCGGCAAGTCCCACCATCTATGCACAGGGACTGTGCTGGGCCCACCCAGGCTGAGGCACCGGCTGCAGTTCCACCACTGTATAAAGTACTGCAAAGTACTGCAGCGCTGAATACTGAAAAATGGCCTGGCCAGGAAGGGGGTGTAAACACGCCGATCAAGTGGTTAACTACCCCCGGGAGCTCTCTAGATCTGAGCGGGCGTCTTTAGACGTCCGCTTAGACACGCCCCCTCACGCGCGAGCGGGGAAATGGCCGATATTTAAAAACAGGCAGCGATGCCTGTTCCCATAGAAGCGATCCGCCGGCTGTGGGTGCCGATCGGCCCCCCCCCCCCCCGCCCCCCCCCTGCCGTTGTCCCACTGATCCCGGGCTCCGCTGTGCCCGGTGCGAGCCTGGGATCAGCAGGGGATCAGCAGGGGATCAGAGGGAGATGGTTACACGAGCTCCCTCCTGTCCCCTCACTGCAAGAATGCGGAAGTATTGTATATTACATCACTTCTGCATTCTTGTGTCACTCTCCAGCTTCAGAAGCTGGAAAGAAGCTGATGGAGCAGATCTGTGCTTCATCAGCTTCTTCAGGGGGGTCCTAGGTGACATTAGGGGTCTTGGAGACCCCTGATGTCTCCATAAAGAGGACCTGTCACATATTTTGCTACCACATAGGGGGGTTTTATTAGCCCCCGTATGTGATAACAATAAATTTTAGTTAGTGAAAAAAAAAAGAGGAAAAAAAAGGTAAGTCCCCCCCCCCCAAAAATTTTTTTTTAAGTTACACATAAAAAAAGAATTAAAAAACAAAAACATTTTTTAAAGTCCTCACCCATAAAACTGGGTAATAAATGTTTCCTAACATAATGTAAAAGAAACTTTTTTTTTCATAATTTTCTGTAATTTTTCCTAGTTATAGTAAAAAATAAAATTAAGATTAAATACCACCAAAAGAAAGCTCTATCTGTACTCAAAAAATGGTATAAAATTAATTTCAGTACAGCGTTGCATGACGGAATAAACGTCAATCAAAGTACTGCAGCGCTTACGGCAGGAAAATGTCACTTTCGGCATTTAGCCGAAAGTGCCATTTTCGGCGGGCGCCCCCCCTTCACTTTTCGCCCGGGGCCCGCGCCCCTGCTGCACCCCCGGTTGTTACGCCACTGCTGTACTCAGCAGACACTGAACTGCCTTATCACTGAAACATTAATCACCTTCCAGGTCGGGTCACATAACTTCTTGCAGCTGCCCGATGTGATGGAGAGCACATAGAGTGCAGATCAGCACGGCTCACCTCAGTATGCTGTTTACATACGTGAAGGAGGAATGTCCAGGAGGCGTCCATGAACATCATGTCATTCCTTTTAGTATGCCCCCTTCTAAAGAGCTGAGATCGGGAGCATTATCCAGCTCACGCTGACAGGAAGGAGGGGAGGGGTCAAGCACTCGGAGATGCTCTGTATTACTGGGTCGGAAGACGGCCGAAGAAGTGTTTGTAAAAGTTCTCATCCTCACCGGGCCCCCCTCTGCTCGGGCCCCCTAGCGGCCGCGTGGGTTGCTATGGCAGTAGTTCCGCCACTGACGGCACCCCTGATTACCATATTTTTGTATATGAATACATGTAGACTTTTATACATAAGTGTGGATTGTTGTACATTAAAAACATTTTTAATAAGACCTACCCCGAAAATAAGACCTAGTGTGTTTTTTGCAGCCCCAAAAGATATAAGACAGTGTCTTATTTTTGGGGAAACACGGTATATACATTGCCCCCTCTCTATATACATTGTCCACTTCTCTATACACATTGCCCCCTATCGATACACATTGCCCCCTCTCTGCAGCTTCAGAGTGGCCAGGAGGAGAGAGAGCGAGCGCTGTGTTCAGAGCCGCCTCTCTAAAGGTGCCCATACACTGTACGATAATCGGCAGGTGTATGTCAACCAAGCAGGCTGGATAACACGTTGAGAATCGTACGATTGTTGGTGGGTTAGTGGCGTGCTCGTAAGACAACTACCGAGCGGGCCGGTGTGCGCAAGCGCACACTGCCCGTTCAGCATTGCAGTCATCGGAAGCCCTCCCCTCAGCTGGGCGGGCTTGTGATGATCGCAAGTACGATCTGCCTGTCGTACGTTGCTCCTTCGCCTGTGTAGCCAAAAATCCTTGCACCGGCCCTGTAGGTAAGAGAGCCACTGTCCCACATACCTGGGAGGGCTGAATAAGACAGGAGATTATTTAGTAACAGAGCTGAAATCTCAAACAGCTACTCTCTATATTCCAGACACTATGAAACAAGCAATAAATTATGCCTCATATAACCTAGTCACTTACTCTCCTGTGCTATTGATATCACTGAGGGCCGGTGCACACCTAGGCGATCCGTGACCGTAAGGCAATCATGCACGATACCGTGCGGATTGCCACACGGTCACGGAGTCGCCCATCACAGACGATCACACGGTGGGTGCCATTATTTTGTAATGGCATCCCATTTGCGCCAGGCGGATCATGCGTTTTCCCACCGCGATTCTGCCTGTGCATCCAGAACACAACTAACATGGCTAAAACAGCCGTGCATCGTGTATCGCAAAAAAAAGGTACATGCACCTGTGATTTCCGTGGAGATTTCACCCCATTGAAATCAATGAGGCCGCACGGCAATCAATGTCTGCAGTTGTGAAAGACCGCGTAATCCCAGGACGCGCAATCCCAGATCGCTCAGGCATGCACCGGGCCTGACCAGTAGAGTTTGCTACGGAAAAAAAGTATTCCTCATTTCCAACACTAGCATGTACAAAATCCATTATGTCAATTTCATGTTGGCAGTTTAATGGTCATCTGCAGCAGACAGGGCCGGACCGTCTAAAAGACTAGTGTGCGTGTGCAGAAACCTGACTGGATCTGCTCTGCATTTGGTGTGAACAAGGCCTTAAAGACACACACACAGAACGGAGTCCAGGAGGAGAAGGTGAGCTGACAGGGAGGAGGGGGAATCATTAGCAGAGTGAGGAGTGAGAGGAGCTCCATGACCCCATGCTGGGCACGGGGGGCACAGGTGCCAAACTCAACAGAGACACAGGCAGGACTGCCATCAGGGGGGTATGGATGATACTCATATGAGGGGCCTGGGCCCATTACATGCGTATCGGCCGTACAAATGGCAGCACGGTAGAGGGAAGAGGTGGAGGCGGCTGGGCCCCAGCAGCATCAGACCGGCGGCATAGGAGGCTGGGCCCCAGGTGCGCTCTGTGGAGTCTCAGGGGGGTGCGTTACTAATCCCTGCGTCCAACCAGCGTGTTACTAATCCCTGCGTCCAGCCAGCACGTCACTAATCCCTGCGTCCAGGCAGCGCGTCACTAATCGCTGAGTCCAGCCAGCGCGTTACTAATCCCTGCATCCAGTACGTCACTAATCCCTGCGTCCAGACAGCGCGTCACTAATCCCTGCATCCAGTGCGTTACTAATCCCTGCATCCAGCGCGTCACTAATTCCTGCATCCAGCCAGCATGTCACTAATCCCAGAGTCCAGGCAGCGCGTCACTAATCACTGCATCCAGCGCGTTACTAATCACTGCATCCAGCGCATCACTAATCCCTAAGGCCTTGTTCACACTGAAAGCATGTGCGTTCCAGAGCGGTAGCTGCTGGAACGCACCGCGATCGCTGAGAAACCTCCCCACGCATTTTGGGGTGGGAGGGGTCGTTGCGGTGCATTGAATTCAATGGCACCGTTTCCACGGGCTTGCTCTATTTTTTTGCGTTTGCTGCATCCAGCAAGTCAACTGTATCCCTCCTGTACCTACCAGCAACTGGCCCAGCCCCTCGATTGCGCTTCAGTGTTTGGCCCCACCCCTTGAGTGCACCTCCATGTTTGGACCCACCCCTGGATTGGGGGTGGGGCCTTCAGGGTCACATGATTGGGCTGCTCTGTCTAAAATGCCCGGGCCTATTTTTTGTCCCAGTCCGGCCCTTGCAGCAGATGTATGTACAGCTCAATATATACTCCCTACACTTACAGTTTTAACATTTACTGATGTGGACAAGTTATGTTAACAAGTCAAATCAGAACAAACTAAAGAGTGACTCTCTACCAAAGAGCTTCTTTATATATGCCCTTAGATACCATACTAAGATGTGATTTTGTTAATAAAATTACTGTTTATGTTGTTGTTTTAAAATATATTGCATTCTTGTCACTTACTAGGTGAACCCAGAGAAAGAACGTTACTGGACTCATGTTAGCGCGGATGCCTGTAGGCTTGCCTTGATTTGGAAATACGGTGGCATTTACATGGATTGTGATTTCATCTCAATTCGTCCAATACCTAACAATCTTTTTCTAGCTCCTGAACATGCTGCATCCATTAGTAACGGTGTTTTTGGCCTCTCCCAATTTCACCCCCTGACATGGCTATTACTGGAGGACTTTGCTGACAACTACAAGGGAGAAATATGGGGACAGCAAGGGCCAAGACTTTTTACACGTGTTGTGAAAAAATGGTGTGGTCTGCCAGTATTTATCACTAAAGATGATGTCATGTGTGGAAATATATCCTATTGTCACCCTCAGCGTTTCTATCCCATTTCTTATCCATCATGGAGAAAATATTATGAAGTCTGGAAGGATTTACCAACATTTAATGGCACCTATGCCTTGCATCTCTGGAATTTCATGAATAAGGAAGGTAAAACTATGGTACCTGGGAGCAACACATTGGTGGAGCATCTTTACCAAAAACAGTGCCCCTCCAACTATGATTATATTATGAAAAAACAAAAAAACTCATCAGTAACCAGATCTACTTAATTCATCAAAAGGGATTACTGGGCTTATTTGAAGTGGATCTAAAATGGAAAACTAAAAATATCTGATAGGAAAAAATAGGAAATGTTCCCTCTACTTAGGGAGTCCCAGTAAAATAGCATTGATATTCATTCTGGGGTCTAGTCAGGGGCGTAACTACATATCACAGGGCCCCATAGCAAAATTTTGTAAGCCCCCCCGCAACATACCCCCCACCAAAAAAACCCACAAAAAGAAAAATAATAATGCCATTGACTCAAGTGATCACAAACACTTAGTCTCCTTGCATTCTGGGGTAAAAGGGGGCGCGGCAGTGCCATTCATGTCAATTGAATTCCAGACACCCCCTGCCCGCAAAAAAATGTGCATGCAGTGGCGTCACAAGGAGGGTGCAGGGGGTGTGGCCCGCACCTGGGTGCCACCATTGGACTTCATTTTGGTGTCACCCCTTATGATATGTCGGGCACTTATTCTTGGACTGAGAGCCCGACAGTGTCAGGAGAGAGGAGGGGACCCGGCGGCATACCGCATCCTGCCGGGTGAACGTCCCCTCCTCTTTCTGTCGGCGTCCATCACCAAGATGGCCGGCAGCAGGCGTCAAAAAGACCACTGCGGGAAAACGAGCTGGGGTGGCGGTTTTAATTAAATTGGGGTGCCCCTTTAAAACACAAGAAATTTATACTCACCCGGGAGGCAGGTATATCATAATATATGGAATGTGGGGACGAGACCAGATTACTCTATGTAACTTATATACACCAAACAACAGACAAATACCGTTCTTAAGAACTGTTCTTTCAAAATTGTCCTCTACACCTCATCAATATTTGATTATTGGGGGCGACTTTAATGCTCTCTTATCCCCAACTCTTGATAGACTGGGAATTGCTGGAAACCCTACCCCAGAGGGCGCAACGGGAATTGCTAATCAATTCCAATTACTGCTTAAACGACACGCCCTGTTTGATGCCTGGAGAACTCAGAATCCAACAGATAGGCAATTCACTTTTTACTCTAATGCCCATGGAACTCACACTAGAATAGACCGTTTTTTAGTTAACAGTAAAGCTTTAAGTGCTACCCTATCCACAGAAATCACTTCTATTACATGGTCAGATCACGCACCTATAGTCTTCTTGATATGCTTGTTCCCTCCTCCGGCAAAATTCTATAACTCGCGCTTAAATGAAAAGCTTCTTAAAAATGAAATAACTAAATCCCAACTAGAGAGCTCATTGCTTCAATATTTTTCCTTGAATGAAGGTACTGTACATCTCTCCAGCACCCTATGGGGGACACACAAGGCAGTCATGCGAGGCCATTGCATTGCACTCTCTAGCAAGCTTAAACCTGACGCATAACTCCAACGTCTATCATTAGAAGCACAACTTGAGTCCCTTCAAAGGCGACTAGTCTCCACCCCTTCTTTTAATACACTTCGACAAATCCTGTCCGTCAGATCTCAACTGCAACAATTAGATATGTCAAAGGTGGAAAAATCGATGCTATCAATCAAACAAAAATGTTATGAAAGAGGGAGTAAAGCCCACACTATGCTAGCTCATAAACTTAAAGCAGACCAGACCCAAAAGTCTATACACTCTATTAGAGATTCAAAAGGTATTGAACAGTTTTGCCCGGATAAGGTAGCATCGACTTTTCATACTTACTATACCCAACTTTATAACATAAAAGACCCTGCATTTAACTTGGATGACCCAAACCTAAAAAATTCCATTATGGACTATCTCTCAGAACACCCTCTCCCCTATATTTCACAAAAAGAACTTCAATTTCTCAATCGGGCTATAACATTTGAAGAGTTGAATTCAGTAATTAAAGACCTGCCTAACGGGAAGGCCCCAGGCCCAGATGGCTTTTCCTATATGTATTATAAAACTTTCAGCTCCATCCTCAATCCACATCTACTAACATTATACAACAATTTTTTTGAAATATCCCCTATTCCTACCTCCATGCTTGCGTCTTACATCACAGTAATTCCTAAACCCGAAAAAGATCATTTGGAGTGCTCTAATTATCGACCGATTGCCCTCCTGAAATCAGATTTAAAAATATTTTCCAAACTGTTAGCAACACGACTGAGCTCTCTTATTCCTTCACTGATACATAAAGACCAAGTTGGATTTGTCTCAGGTAGACAAGCTGGGGACAACACAAGATGAACGATAGACCTTATAGAAATTCTCAGCTCTACAGACACGGAATCTGTGATATTGACCCTTGATGCTGAGAAGGCATTTGACCGCCATAGCTGGCCATTCCTATTTTCTACTTTAGAACACATTGGGATACGGGGACCTTTCTTTGATGCTATCACTAATTTATACTCCACTCCTTCTGCAGCTATTAAACTCCCCTTATCGCTATACGCTTTTTTCCTATACGCAATGGTACCCGACAGGGATGTCCCCTATCACCCTTGCTATTCACCCTTTGTATTGAATCAGTGGCAAACCACATCAGGAATTCTCCAGACATCTCAGGTGTACAACTTAAAGGACAGGCCTTTAAATTGTCACTCTTTGCAGATGACATCCTATTGACACTGACTAAACCTCTTATTTCCTTACCAAACTTACATAGGGAACTGGCTAGTTACTCTTCCATATCGGGGTATAAACTTAACTTGACTAAATCTGAGGCATTGCCAATTCACATTCCTCAAGGAACATTGTCTTCTCTACAATCTTCCTTTGAGTATAATTGGAAAATGGATAAACTTAAATATTTAGGTATTTATCTTACTCCCGGGTGACCTCTTTATATATAACTTATTTCCCCCCCCCTCTATAGGGAAATTAGAGATCTCCTTCGAAGATGGAGACCACATCGTTTATCCTGGATAGGTAAAATTACATCAATTAAAATGATGATACTGCCAAAATTGCTTTATTACTTTGGGACACTACCTATCAAAATACCTATGCAGGACCTTAAACCCTTACAATGCTCACTTTTCCAATTTACATGGGACAATGCAGCTCATAGAGTTGCCAGGAAAGTGATAACATCCTCTAGAGCACAGGGCGGATTGGCTTTTCCGGATATATTAAAATATTATATAGCAGCCCACCTGCGCCATATGGCGTCATGGACTTCCTTACATCCCCCTAATAGATGGGCGGAAATAGAAAATCTTTGGATCTCACCACTACATTTAAACTGCCTCCTATGGCCTAACCTTCAGGCTACACATGTCCCCTCACTTTTATTTACTACGCAACACACTAAAGACATTTGGCACTCCGTAGGGATTACATTTAACCTTACATCAACCACCACTTCAATGAGATCATTCTTATACACACACACCTCTTCTTCCTACTACACTCAATCGATACACTGCTCACCCATGGTCAGACCAGTCCCTTTTTCGTATCAATTATATAATTCACAAAGTGGATAGGACTGTACTACCCTTCCCGAGCCTACAAACATATTTTAATTTACCAACCAGATCCCTTTTTACATACCTTCAGATTAAACATTTTGCATATACAATCTCCCCATCACTTACTTTCTCACCATTAACACCATTCGAAAAAATATGTCTAGAAGGACCTACTCGTAAACATTCGATAGCAGACATTTACAAATTACTTAATCTAATCCGTGTTATACCATTTCCAAAGCACAACTATATGCGTAGATGGGAGAGAGCATTAAGTCGAACATTGAACAAAGATGAATGGGAGAAGATCTGGACTAATGCTAGTAAGACCTCTATTTGCACTCTATATCAGGAAAATCAGTACAAAATTCTTTACCACTGGTATCGCACCCCAGAACGGTTAAACCGTATGAACCTTTTGCTCCCAGCAGTATGCTGGAGATGCCTGACCTCAAGGGGTAGCTTACTCCATATATTTTGGGAATGTGCCAAGATATACGGCCCTTTTGGAAGCATACAATGACGATGCTCCAAAAATTAGCTGACCAGACCATACCAGAAGACCCTGTAGCACTTGCTCCTAGGCCTCCCCATCCCACATCTTCCGAAAACTATTACTAAACTTGTCAACCATGTTCTCACTGCGGCAAGATGTCTTATAGCTTTAACAAGGCTACAAGTTACCCCTCCGTCCCACACAGAACTGGTGCGAAGGATCCACGATATTTACAATTTGGAATATCTAATGGCTCGATTACATAATACTATACAAGAATTTGAACAGGTGTGGTCCCCCTGGCAATTACTTGAAGATACTAATGGCGATGACAGCCGCTCAACGTTTTATCACTCCCTGTGAATATGAGAATATACGCCCCCTTTTTTTTTTTCATTTTCATTTTTCATTTTCATTTAAAGAGATTATTGTTAAATTACTGTTTAAACCAGTTGGGTATATGCTCCATGATGATCGAATTGCTTTTCAACTATTGCTATAGTTGATCTATATTCTTTGTACCCACACCAAAACTTGAATAAAAACTTAAATTATAAAAAAAAGACCACTGCGCATGCGCGACCCCGGGTGACACCCAGCCTCGCGGCGCCACTGAGTGCATGCACAATGTTTTGTGATTGCACTACACCTGAATGCAGGACATTGTATTACCATGCATTCTGGTGAAGCCAATGACATGAATAGCTAGTTCCGCCCCTGGGTCTAGTTCCGCCCATGGGTCTACTTGCATTGCTAGCTGAAGCCCCGTAAAGGCCAAAATCTTCATCTTTATGATGCCACTGAAAATGCAGGTTATTGGTTGTCTGGTTCTAATGGCCCTTTGCAACAACGCCCATACAACATGGCACATGAAATTAGATTTTACAGTACAGAAGTATGTGACAAAAGGCTGGGACCAGTCTGGCAGCTGTGTAGGAAGTCTAGTGAATGTGACAGCAGTTACATAAAACAGTTACAATAATGAAACTTTCTGTTTTTAGCCCTTGCATGTGCAATAGACAACAGGATGGACTTGCTCTTTTAATGAATCCCAAGTAAAAGCTGCATTTCAGATTATTTTTATTCTATATA